GGGTTTAATCTCCATTTTAGCAGACATCGATCATTGCTAAGCATTTTCAAATTAGTAAACGCATTAGTAAATGCATCAGTGCAGGTTTGAAGTGAAACTGCCTGCTTCCCCCTGCCTTTGCACATGAACCACTGCACCTGTTTGAAATAAAGTTTTCCTTCTTATTAGGAAAAAAAAAATCCTGAAAAATAAAATTCATGTTTAAATATTTAAGACATATATGTAACATGATGTCAACATTGTTAGTTTATAACTCCTAATTCATAAGCATCTCATCACATTGGAAAGCTCTCTGCAGGTGGCAAATTTTCCTCTTGCACAAATTCCTAAGTTTGCATGAAGACTGGCTAGAAAGCCAAAGCCAATCGTCAATGAGTTGTTTGTAGCCTGATAATTTTGAAAGCAAAATTATAAAAAAAGTTTCATGTATTTCCGTGGGAAAAAAAATACAGTGCATGTGGAGCTTGGGTGCATTTTTATGTTTGCTGTGATGTGAGGTGGGGCCCACACCTGCGGGAGTCCTTGGACCCAGGGTTTTAAAAACAGCCCGGAACAGATAAGAGGTTTGTTTTATTTCCCTGATTATATAACTGCACAATCTTTGCATGCTGCAAAAGATACTAGAAGGCACACAAATGGAAATTTAAGGTAATCCCACACTTAAAGAGACAACCACTATTAACATCTTCATTAAAAATACTTTCCGGCCGGGCGCGGTGGCTCACGCCTGTAATGCTAGCTCTCTGGGAGGCTGAGGGGGGCAGATCGCTCAAGCTCAGGAGTTCGAAACCAGCCTGAGCAAGAGCGAGACCCCATCTCTACTAAAAATAGAAAGAAATTAACTGGCCAACTAAAAACATATAGAAAAAATTAGCCGGGCATGGTGGTTCATGCCTGCAGTCCCAGCTACTCGGGAGGCTGAGGCAGGAGGATCACTTAAGCCCAGGAGACTGAGGTTGCTGTGAGCTAGGCTGATACCACGGCACTCTAGCCAGGGTGACAGAGTGAGACTCTGTCTCAAAAAAAAAAAAACCACAAAACTTTCGAAGGCTTTTTCTATGTCTCAATATACAGATGTAGATTTTTTTAACAGCTTTATTGACAATTCCAAACAACTCGTCCATTTAAAGTATGCAATTCAATGGCTTTTAGTGTGTTCATAGGTTTATGCAACCATCACCACACTCAGTTTTAGAACATTTTTATCCCTCCAAAAAGAAATCTCTTCCCCATTAGCAGACACTTCCTATTATATTTCCTCTCCTCCCCCTCCTCGCTCTAGGCAACTGCTAATCTACTTTCTGTTTCTATGGATTTGCCTGTTTTGGACATTAAATGTAAGTGGAATTGGACAATATGTGCTCTTTTGTTTCTGGCTTCCCTCACTAAGCACAATGTTTTCGAAATTTGTCCATGTCATAGCACGTATGAGTACTTCATTTCTTCTTGTGGCTAAATAATGTTCCATCGTGTGGCTATATTGATTTATTTACCCATTCATCTGTTGGTGGCCATTTGTGCTGTTTCCCCTTTGGGGCTGTGGCAAATAATGCTTCTGTGACATTCATGTACAAGTTTTTATGTGCACTTATGTTTTCAGTTCTCTTGGGTTCATACCTAGGAATGGGATTGCTGGGTCTTATGGTGACGCTATGATTAACCTTTCAAGAACTGCCAGACTGTTTTCCAAAGCCATGGCACCATTTTACATTCCCACCAGCAAGATATGAGAATTTCAATTTTTCCACGTCCTCACCAACCCTTATTATTTTTCCTCATAGCGATCCTAGTGGGTACTAGGTGGTGGTACATAGATTTTTTTAAGAAGGAAGAGAAGGAGAAAAGATGAGATCTTTCAATATGTGTTGTTTTGTTCATTTTTTTTTCACATGACATTTTATAGTAGATACCACTCCATGTCAATAAATATACCTTTTGTGCCATAATTTTAAATACCTGCATGATCTATTGAAAAGAAATCCAGCAGGGCGGGGTGATGCATGCCTGTAGTCCCAGCTACTCGGGAGGCTGAGGCAAGAGGATCCCTTGATCCCAGGAGTTCTGGCTATAGTCTTCTCTGCTGATCAGGTGTCCACGCTAAGTTCACTATCAATATTGCAACCTCCCGGGAGCAGGGGACCCCAGGTTGCCTAAGGAGGGGTGAACTAGCCCAGGATGGAAACAGACCAGGTCAAAACTCCCTTGCTGATCAGTAGTGGATCCCTGTGAAGAGCCCCTACACTCCAGGCTGGACAACATAGTGAGACCCTGTCTCTTAAAAAATAAATAAAGGAAGTTCAGTGATTTATGTGATTGATCCCTACTCAAGAACACTACTTGCTTTTGGTTTTTGCTATTTTATACAGCACAGCAGTGGCCAACCTTATACTTCCATGTGTATCTTTGGGCATTCGTCTCTTTATTTCTGCTGTCTGTTAAAATGCTGAACTTGTGAAGATTATGATAGATATTACCAAATATGTTTCCAGAAAGATTTCCGTGAGTGTATTTCTCCCCCGATAGCTTTGTCCATAATGGTTCTTATATTAAAATTTTCTAAATTTAATAAACTAAAAAACATCTTTTAATTCAAATGTCTTCAATCATTAATGTGATGAAACATCATTTTGTAGCTTATCAGCCATTGACAAGAATTGCTTAGTCACTATCTTTGTCTACTTTTCTTTTGAAGAACTCATCTTTTCTTATTGATTTGTAAGACCTATTTATATAGTTTAACCTATGATTTATATGTTTGTAGAAAATGTTTTTCTTCAGTCTTTTAACTCTGATATGGTATTTTGGCATTCAAAAGCATAAATACTTATGTATTCAAGTGTCAGGATTTTTTAAATTATGGTTTCTTGATCTGGTATAGAAAGTTGTTCCTCATCTCTACATTATGATAATATTTACCTATGTTTTCATCAAATACTTTAATACATTTGTTAAATATTAACTCTTTAATCCATTTAAAATTTATTTTTATATAAGATGGGAGGTAGGGATTAGCTATTTTCTTTTTCTTTTTTCCAAATTATGAGTCAGTCATCCCTTAACTATTTGTTAAATAATCTTTCTAAGATGATTCATCATGGTATCTTTTGTCCTATATTTGGTTCCCATGTGTATTGGATCTGTTTCTGAACTTACTATTCTCTGTTACTGTTATTTTAGTTAGTGTAGCTTAGTAATTAATTTTATAACTTTGGCAAATTCCCCCTCAACACTACTTTTCTCCCCCAAATTTTAGCTCCTCTTCATACATTTCTTCCTAACACAATTTTGCAATAGCTTAATTTCTTTCTTTTTTTTAAATTTTTTTTTGAGACAGAGTCTCAGTCACCCTGCTAGAGTGCAGTGGCATCATCATAGCTCACAGCAACCTCAAACTCCTAGGTTCAGGCAATCCTCCTGCCTCAGCCTCCCAAGTAGCTGGACTACAGGCATGTGCCACCACCACACCTGTTTTTTGTTGCTCAGGCTGGTCTGGAACTCCTGGCCTCAAGTTATCCTCCCACCTCGGCCTCCCAAAGTGCTAAGATTACAGGTGTGAGCTGCCAGGCTTAGCTTACTTTAGTCCATTTCTAAAACAAAACAAACCAAAACAAAATTCTAATGGTATTGAATTGTGTTACATTTATAGATTACTTTGGGGAAGAATCCATAGCTATTATTAGTCCAGTTTCCTGCAGAAAATAGGCAGTTCATTCCAACTGGATAATTTCAGCTGAATTTATTTTCAAAATTCTGGGGCAGCGTGGGATGGAGGGTGGCTGCAGCCCATCCACCCCGGAAGGGACCGGGCATGCTGAGAGAGAGAATAGCTGTGTGGAGAGGACACCTGGCAGGAGCCGGCTTGGGTCACTCCTCTCCTGGCCTGTCCCCTGCTGGGCCACCTGCTGGTCAAACCCAACCTGAAACCAGAGGGCACCAGCTCTCAGGGCAGGTGGGCAAGGAGGGAGAGTGGACTAAGGGGAGATGCAAGGCGGCCAGCAGGGCAGGGTGTTAGGTCATTTGAACACGATGGACGTAAAATTGAAGCGAGAAAGTTTTTTTTTTTTTTTTTTTTAAAAAAGGGCTTACACATTGTAAGAGAGATGTATTCCCAGGGACCCCTTCCCCCCCACCAATTTTATTAAATCCTCAATCAGCTTTGGGCTGGGGGCCCTTCCTGGGTGCTCTGAGAACCCTTTTTTCTCCCTAATCATGCCTGTCTTCTCTACTTAGCCAGATTTAGCAAATGAAAATACAGGACAGCCAGATAAATGTGAATTTCAGATAAACTATGCCTAGTTTTCTTAGTGTAACTGTGTCCCGGGCAATAATATTTTTTTCTGGCCATGCTAGCTCTTCTACGCTGGGCTTGAGAGAGCAAGTACCATGTCCCTATTCCTAGTCCAGCATGCAGCACTATTGGGCCCTCGACTGAACAGAATCACTAACTGAGTTTGAGAGCGCCTAGGCTGGCTCACTACCATTTATTTAGACCCAATCAAAAGCCGGAGAACCAGATATGTGGCTCACGCCTGTGGTCCCAGCACTCGGGAGGCTGAGGTGGGAGGATCACTTGTACTTGCAGGAGTCTGAGTCCAGCCTGGGTAACATAGTGAGACCTCATCTCAAAAAAAGTTTTAAAAATAAAGAGATAAGTGAAAGAAAAGTCATTTTGGGGGCTGGGCAAGGTGATTCATGCCTGTAATCTGAGCACTCTGGAAGGGCAAGGTGGGAGGATTGCTTGAGCCCAGGAGTTTTAGGTTGCAGACCAGCCTGAGCAAGAGTGAGACTCTGTCTCTACTAAAAATAGAAAACTTAGCTGGGCATGGTGGCACACACCTGTAGTCCCAGCTACTCAGGAGGCTGAGGCAGGAGGATCGCCTGAGCCCAGGAGTTGGAGGTTGCTGTGAGCTATGATGATGCCATAGTACTCTAGCCTAGGCAACTAAGTAAGATCCTGTCTCAAAAAAAAAAAAAAAAAAAAAGAAGAAGAAGAAGAAGAAGAAAAAGAAAAGTCATTTTTTAAAAAAGCTAGAGAGGGAGGAGCATTTTAAATGTAGTTCAACGTTGCATTTTAATTTTTCTTTGGCAGGCCAGACAAACCATGGGAGAAGGAGAGGAGGTGCAAAGATGGGAGCAATTACTCCCAGAAACCTGAAACAGCCCGGGACCCACCTGTTTCCAGTCAGCCACAGGGACCCTGTCTGCCATCTGCCATGTCCCCACCTGACTCCCTGCTGGGGCCCTTCTCCTCCAGTGACCCGCACCTTGCACAGCCTCCGTTCCAGGGGTCTCCGGAACTGGGTGGGGGTTAGAGCAGCCCAGAATGGTCCCAGTGCCATTTGCTGGGTGCTTCAGCAGAAAGTCAGCAGGACGAGGGAGGGAAATAGGTGGATTTAATTCCAGAGGTGGCCTTGCACCTGTGCCCATATAGACCACACCGGGGATGTTTGGGCTTCCACGGGAGCCCACGTGGGAGAAGTCTGGATCCGAAAACTTTTGAGATTTTTTTTTCCTCTTACGTGACTATCGAGTCCTGTGAAGGGTGAAACACGAGGCTCCTTAAGTCAGGTGTTTGCAGTACAGTGTCCGGTGAGCCTAAAATCACAGTTCGAACAGCCCTCGATGGCCAAGACACTTTTCTCTCGACTGGATCCGTGAATAGCCTACAGATGCCCTGGTTTCAGACGAGACCAGAGAAGAATCCGTGAAACAGCAAGAAAGATGCGTCACACCTGGACAAACAGCTCGGAGCGGATGGCCCGTGGAAGGGTCAGCACGCTGTGCTCACATGGAAAGGACAAAGCGTCCTGCGGGGGGTCACGATGAACCGTTCACCGGCTCCCCTGAGCTCTGGACGAGGGGAAACTGGTCAAAATCGCAACAGGAAGTTTACATTGGAGTTAAGAAAAAGTCTGCTCGCAGCAAGTGGTCCTTGCTCGTGTTACTGCAGTTCTGGGAGGATATGAATGTTTTAGAGCCACCCCCCGGCGGGCGGCATGGGGACGCCAGCGTGCGTGCACGTCTTGTGTGGGCTCGCACGGGGCTTTGAAGTGTAAGACTTCAAATGGATCGACGGGATGGATCAAAACCTCTACGAAACCTGTGCAGGAGCCCGCGCGTCTCAGAAGAAAACTTAAACAATGACAGGTATCTGAGTGTTTGCCTAAGCAAACGTGGCCTCCGTGTCCTGCCCATGTTTGGTGTCGCGGCTCCAAGAGGCTCCTCTGGCATTTGTTGGGCATTACATCATCCTCTCCCAGGCGAGCTCAAAGATGAAGTCTCAAGAGAGGGAATTAAGTAGATGGGACCTGGGGGGGTTGCGAGGCGTTCGGCTACAGTGACCTTGCTCCAGAAGATGACATAGGGAGGCTTAGTCACCCAGCCCTTCCTTGTTTGGACAGTGACTCGGCCGTGAGAGTTGTTTTCGAAGCAACTGGAAATAGAATCAATTGCTGTTTGCTCTGATATAAAAAAAAAAAAATGCGTGTCTTGGGCTGGGAAATGCAGAACAAACACCACGGCACAGCAAACCACTGGCGAGTGTGTTTTAAACCCGGCTCGGTCTGGGAACAGCTACAGAAATAAATGCACATTACGAAAGCAGTGTGGTATGTTGTTTTAGAATCCTTTCTTTGAGAAGCGTTCAAAATGCAGAGCTGCCCAGACCTGGCCTTCCCTTCCTCTGCGCCTGTTTCCAAAGAGCCCCTTGGGTGATCACAGTGGCCCCTGCCTCTGCCCTTGGGGCATGCCCGGGAAGACCCCTAAATAGCCCTGGAGACCCCATCTTGTCCTTTGATGCCACCTAATGTCGGGGTAAGGTGAGCATGGGAATTCAGGTGTAACAGAATGACTCAGAAATAAGGAAAGGCCATTAACTGATCGGGCGTCAGTTAAACTCCGGGCGCTGCACATCCAGCCTGGTGCCAGGCACCAAGGAAGACACAAGAGGGACCAACATGGGGTTAGTGGCCACTGCCAGGGGCTTCTGATAAAGCTAGGAAGACCAACGCTTGTGAACAAAATCAGAGACAAGAGAGCAGTGAATCGGAGCATGTTCCTGAGTCCCAGGATAGCGGCACGTATGGGAAAATCGGGCCGTGACAGTTGGTGAACAGAAGGAGAGTGGACAGGGTTGCGTTGCCCCAGCAGAAATCCCGGGACTAGAAGAGGAGAGGAAAGGGGAAGTCACAGGAATAAAGGAAAAGCCATGGCAACCAATGGGACCCGCAGAGAAAGGAAGGACAGGGAAGAGTCGTGAGACCTCTTAAGTTTCTAGGGGTTTCTGGGAGCCTGGAGGAAGGGTGAGGGTCCTGGGCAAAACAGGGTTGGCTGGGAAGGAAGAGGAATGGCACGTTTGGGTCACTGCACCATAGTTAGTGGTAGGGGGTCAAGGGTGTGCCTGCTGCCAAGTAATTCCAGATTCAGGGTTGGCGTGGAGGCCCAGCTGGAAGTGAGGGGCCAGGAGTCAGCACCCTGATAGTGGATGAGTGCACCCCAGTGCGGCTCGAGAAGGACCCAGATGGTCCTCCTCCCCTCCCCTCCCCCTTCTCCTTCTCTGTCTCCTGTTTCTTTCTTTCAAATTAATGTCCCCCTTATTTTTTAAAAATTCTTTTGTCTTCTCTTTCTCCCTCCCTCCCACAGTCCATCACTCCAACATATTTGATGGGTTTTTACAAGATCTTGCAATTTGTGTGCTGCTGTTCAAGTGCAGATATTTTCGGTAACTTTTTCTTTTGCTATACTTTCAAATTTACTGAGAGGTTGCAAGAAAAGTAAAAGGAAGGCCCATCTACCCTGTACCCAGATTCACTTGTTGTTTACACTTGGCCCCATGTGCTGTATCCTTGTCTCTCTCTAACTCACACGCTCACCTGTGCGTACACATACACACACACACACACACACGCACACACACACACACACAAATACATGTTAGTAGTTTTTTTCCTGCATCCTTTGAGAGTAAGTGGGAGGCATCTAGCCCTAAATACTTGAGTGTGTGGTCCCTAAGAGCTAAGATACTCTGGTACACAGCCACAGCACAATGATCAAAATCATGAAAATTGCCATAAACAGAATGCCCTTACCCAGCCCACAGTCCACATACGAATTTGGTCAGCTGTCCCAATATTGTCCCTTGTAGCTTTTCTCCTGGGCCTGGGCCCCAACCCAGGATGGCAGAGGGTTTAGTCACACACTCCTCGCCCGAAGCCCTTCCGCCCACACCTTGCGCCACCAGCCTTTGCACCTCTGTGGTGTGAGTGTGACTGCTCACCCCAGGTGACCCGAGCCTTTCTCCCAGCACTTTGTTCTGCAACGTCAAGGCAGGCGCCGGGCCCCTCCTCGCCCACAGCCTGGGCCGTTGTCCCCTCTCCACTAAAAGTGATCTCCGGGGACGGGGTGTGCGTCCTCATTGCCGCTGCGGGGGTGGGAGTCCGGGCTCTGCAGGTGGACGCTGGGGACCCTCGCGAGCTGTGTGACCTCAGGCACCTTAGGTCATTTGTTCGGCTGTGAAGCAGGGATGGTGACTGCGCCTTTGCTGGAGTTGCCTGGATAGAAAATGGATCTGTTACGAGAGTCAAATGGGTCCGTGTATGCAAAGCACTCAGGACCGCGCAGGGCACACGGCGAATGCTCAGCAAATCCCTCCTCCTCCCACCCTTCCTCCTCCTCCTCCTTCATCTTTATCATCACCATCACCCAGCAAAGCGCCTAGCACACAGTAGGTGTTTAACAACAATATTTGTTGCATGACTGAGTTCAGGCCGCGGAGTGTCTGGCAACGTCTTGGGCGGTGGGAGAAGAGCGAAGAACCCGGCGGGGCGCTGAGAGCTGGACCGACCATCCCGTCAGGCCCCGCCACTCTGCACGTCAGCAGCAAGGGGGGGACAGCCAGGAGATAGGGGACTTGTGGACACCAACGAGGCAAGAAGGAATTTTCAACCCAAGGAGGTGGTGGCGCTTTAACTCGATTTCACGTGCGTAAAGATGATGGCGTACGGGCCATGCAACAGGCTTACTGCTCTGTGTGCGTGTGTGTGCGTGTGCATGTGTGCATGTGCGTGTGCACGTGTGCATGTGTGTGTGCACATGCCTGCACATGCCACGTCCCTGGGGGAGAGGGGAGACCTGGTTTGGCCCACAGGCTATCTGGGACAGGTTCATCTGCACCACCATGAACTGAGCTATCACTCTGCATACGGCCCCGTGTCACTCTCTTTGCATTTCTGTCCCTACCATAGGATGTCCCCTGTGCGGAAGAGGAACCTGAGGCTGGGAAAGATCAAGTCCGCACAGGTGGCATGTGGTAGAACTGAGATGAAGCCAAGGGCCTGGCCCTGACGCTGGCAGCAGGAGAGACTCGGAGAAGCAGCCGCTTGTTAAGATGGACGGAGCAGGACTCAGGGCTACGCCCGGGCTCAGCCTCCCTGTCCTATGCATGTGGGACCAAGGTATTGTGGGGGGCCGAGTAAGAGACCTCCCGTGGTAGGAGCCGGGGGATTTTGCTGGGAAGAAAGTGAGAGGTGAATAAAAAGACTGACCAGCCTGAGTAGCTTGAGCCTGTGATGGTGGGAAGTTGCCGGTGACTTGGGGGCAGGGACGGAGAAGGCGGCTGGGGAGGGGAGCAGGAGGAGCTTGGTGGACGTGCAGCTGGGACGGGGTCTGGGTGGAGAGAGGGGCCCGGGGACGGCCTCCCACACAGTGAGTCAGTGTCCCTTGTTGGTTCAGGAGGGCGTTCGTGCGCTCGGTAAACAGGAGCGGTTACGACCCAGGGCAGGAGTTCAAGGTCAGATCCTCTCTCTGGACCTGTCTGCGTGCAGGGAGGAGCGAGAAGGGCAGCGGTGAGGGTCCAGGGAGGAGGTGGCCAGGCGGGCAGGAGGGTGAACCAGATCCTGCTGTGCCCTAGAGGCCTCGGGAGGCCAGCCCGGAGTCACACAGCGGGGCCCAGGGGACAGGCCAGGCCGCCCTGGCCCTGGTGCAGGATGTGGGGGACTCCAGTCGCTTCGGTTGTCCGACGCCAAGCGATGAAGGATGTGGCCTGGGCACTAGCTAACATCTAAGCACAGAAACAAAATGTGTCTGAGTCGAAACCCATGTTTTCTTTCCGAGCCGTAAAGAGCCCTGGCGATGTGCCCTGCGGGTCGGGTTCCAGGCCAACCTGTCGCCGCATGTGGTTACAGAGGAGCGGGGTTGGGGTGAGGGGCCCGGCTGGACCCCAGGGTGGCTGACTTCATGGGGTCCCCTTGATGCTGTGGAACCGACCTGCCTAGAAGCTGTGCTCATGTAATCCCATTGTCACTGGGCCCCAAGATGGAATAAGGACAGGGACCTCTGGCATCCTGACCGTCTCCACTAACTTGAAGGAAACGCGGTCCTTAGGGGAGGACTAAGGAGGAGCCTTGACCAGGGTCTGGGACGCTCGTTTTCTCATGTGCCGTGGTCCTGCCCTGGCCAGGCGCCCGCAAGGCGCAGAGCTGTCCCTTTCCCTGCCCCTCCCCCCTCCTTCCTCCCCGGGGCTGATTTTGCAAGATCTGAGCTTCTTTTGCACACCCCAGGGCCAGGGGGTAAAAAGCTTTTTATTTTAGGCTGCTGGAGGAGATGAACTGGATTGTCCCATGGTGAGGGAGGGACTCGCCCCTGGTGACAGGGGCAGGTATGTCCTGGGGAGGGTGCACTGGGAGTGGACTGGGGGCGCTGCGGGCAAGGGCAGGGACTGCAGACACCCGCAGGGCCTCCATCGTGGAAGGGGCATCTAGGCTGTCTGGGAACAAGTCCCTGGAGAGCTCAGGCGGGCTCTCAGACCCACAGGGCCCAGGACCACACCAGAGCTCAGAGAAGCCAGGAAAGTGGGGGCCCCTTCCTCTGCCCCAGATTCTTGGACGAGCAGTTGGGGGGACAAAGGCGCCCCGATAGGACCTGATACTGCTGCCCGCCTAGCCCTGCAGGGGTTCGAAGCCAGGATACCCTTGATTTAGAAACACAATGCGACAGTCCTCCCTCCCCGGAGTGCCAGGGGACACACTTCGCTCCCGCCCGGCCCTCAGCAGCGGACACAGCCGCCCTGAGTTTTAGTTGACTTATACTTGAAATGCCGGGAGAGCTGTTAAGCTATGGGGTCTATCTGAAAAAAAGACGTGTGCATTCCTTGTGTGTCACAGAGCACGCGCCGGCTTCAAACAACACGCCAGAGAGGCAGGAAAGGGACTCGGGCCGGGGCTTTGCACCTGACGCCGGAGCGGCTCCGTAAACAGGAGGTGGGCGCGCTCGCCCGTGCACGGAGAGTACAGGCCGGGCGGCACGTAGGGAGGGAGGTGAGGTCATACCTCCGCAGCCCTTGTGACTGTCACCTTTGCACAAACGGAGTGACTTTTCCCCTGGTCTCGTAGCAGCCAGCTGTGGTCTGAAAAGAATGCAGAGAGCAGCGGTTCTGTGCATTTCTAAAGGAAGCAGAGAAGAAGAAGAAGAAGAAGAACACGTGCATTTTTTCAAGTCTGGCGGAGGGGGCTTTGACTTTAGTCTGCGCCCCGCTCCGGGCTGGGCGGTCGGGACGGCCGCTGCAGGGGAGGCTGTAATTCCTCAACCCGATTCTGTCACTATTATTTACATTCTGCGTCTTCTCTTTCAAGACTATTTTTCTGACATTTGCCTTCTGGCAGGGCTGGGACCAGTGAGTGGGAGGCGGATTCTGGCGGAACACGAGGAAGAATGCTCTTAGTCAGAGCAGTCCAAAAATGGAAAGACCTGACTCAGACCACAGCGTGTCCCCAGCCTGGATAAGGTCCTTGCGAGGTCCCCCGGGGGGGCAGCTCTGCCCGGGGCTGTGAGAGATGTGGGGGTGGGGTGGGTGGGGATTAAGGATCAGGATCCATTTTCGAGCACCTACTGTGCGCCAGGTGCTGCTTTAGGTACTTCAGTGTGAACTAACTCATTTCATCTTCCAACAACCCTATGAGATGGGAGCTATTATTACCTCCGTTTTACAGATGAGGAAACTGAGGCACGGAGAAGTTTAGGAACCTGCCCGAATCGACGGGGCTGGTCACGTGACTCGAAGCCTGACCACCTTGCCTGTGCCTCTGAGTCCTGCAAAGCAGATCTGCTCAGCAGGTGTCGGGGGTGACGTGACCCGGCCAGTGACCAGCTGTTCTGCACTAAAAGGAGCTTAAAAGCCATTGACTCAGCACAAAGCGCTGGGTTAGTAGAGGTCAGGAGGACTGCTGGGTTCTGGAGGCCAGGCAGCATCGGTCAACCAGCAACGGAGGCTGAGCTCGAACTCTCAGAACAGCAGCCTGGGGACACCTGGCACATTTCCCCTGCCAAGGGCACAGGGCGGTGAGCAGGTAGAATGGGGGCTCAGCACCCAGTTATCCCTGCCCCACCCCCCATGCCCCGGGGCGACCAGCTGGCCGTTTGCCTTTGCCTGGCTCCCTCAAGAGAGAACTTGGGCTCATCCTCCAGCTTAGGAATCCGTCCCGGACTTTTCCCTGAAGCCAAGCCCTTGCCTTGGTCATCCGCCCAGACCAGGACTTCTCCGATAGCCTTAGCGGGGAGGGGCAAGCACTCGAGCCCGGGCTTTTGGGTTTGAGGCTTGGTTCCCCCCCTTTTTGGGGAGTTTGTTCCCCTTCCCCTTTTGCCGTTTCTTTGTTTTTGGTTGGGAAAAGATGACACTGTCATAAGACTGTGCTGACGGTGACAACATGGGAAACTGAGGCAGGTGTGTACAGACCCTACCGACTGGGGTTGAATTTCCACTGTTGCCCACCTTTGCCACAGCCTGAGGGTCCCATCCTGAACTCGGCCCATGCTGACCCCCGGCCAGCTAGTGCCTTCTACAAAAAGACACAGTTCAGCAAAGTGTCCTGAGATGCTCTGGAGTCCCAGCCTTCCCTACCGTGGAAACAGGGAGCAGGGGCTGTCAGCGGGTCACAGGGCTGTAGCTCGGTGGCACTAAGCCACCCAGGGTCCCAACCAGGGTCTGAGTCAGTAAACTCGGCTACCACTGGGCTCCAGGCCCTGCTCTGCCTGTAAAATGAGAAACAACTAAAATATCCCTAAAACTCCTTCTAGCTATAAAACGTTCTGATTCATGATGAAGGGAACGAAGAAAATGTGTACGCAATAAAATAAGAACTTTCTGTAGCAGGCTGAGAGGGAGGACAGAAGGACTTGGCCTCCCAAGTCAGCCCCACGCTGTAGAAAGTTCTGGCTCTGGCATGAAGACACACTGGTCTGATTTCCTTAAGCTCTTATTTCACAAAGGCCCCCAAATGTGACAGTTACTAGTGCCCTGATGATAGAGTCCAATCAGGTGAATTGGCCCGCAGGCTGTAACTTTATATACCTGGCTTCCCCAGGGCCTGGCAATCTGAGGCATTTACCTGACGATCAGCTAAGACTAAAGCACCTCTGAGACATGCCCGTGGCTGTGTTTTCCTTGCAATCGTTCCATAAAATGGGATAAAATAATGTTTTATGATCCCGCACTTGGGAAAGCTGATGTACAGGAAGGTTTAGTCACGTCCCCAGAGTGTGTCAATACAGGGAAGGT